GCCTCTACTTCCTCCCTCTTGCCATAAAGTCTCTTCTCACTTCCCACGTATTGTGGGCTTTCTTGAGGAGTGGGTCCAGGGGGAAGCTGTGACATGAATTTCTTACCTTAACTGAGACTTTCTAAATAAAGCACAAGCTGAGAGCCCAAGGAAGAGTCACCGAGAAAGCTGGTAGTGTCACTGGTCAGGTGGTTTCCATGTATGATCTAAAGGAGGCCGGTGGCATTGCTCTTCCCAGTGCTGTGGTGGCCGGGGCCTGTGTGGCTTCCCTGGGCCGGCAGCCTCATGGGCAGTCACGGGCAGTGCCTTTTCAGCTGGGCTCACGGCTGGGGGGGTGCCTGTTGGAGGAGAGGAGGGGAAGGGCCTTCGAAGGCCAGGGCCAGCCTGGGCAGGGCGTTGGGGCTGCAGGGGGACAGGAGCAGAGCGCCAGGCTGGGCAGGCATGCTGGGACCAGCGTGCAAAGATTCCTCGTTGCCAGCAACGACCGTGAGAAAAAACATGCCCGGTTCTGTCCGACCATTGCCGGCCAGTGCCGTAGAAAACGTGGTTCACGGGCCTTTAGCATCGTCACAAGTTTGCTCATGTACAAAATAAGAATAAAACCTTCTATCACAGGGTACTGCATGGCTCAAAACAGATAAGAAGGAATTCAGAAAAGGAATGTTAGATTTAAAAGGACTGAGGAAATCAAAAGCATCTGCGAAAGCGGTGTTAGTTACTAGCGTGGGAGGGCCGGGTGAGGAAGTCGGGGTCCAGGTTGTTATCTTTGAGTACCTGTAATTCAGCCAGTGATGCTTCCAGGCACCTGTTTTCATTAGCTGTGATCTGAACAAAAGCTAATGCTAACATTAATCGAGCAGTTACAGTAAACCAAGCTATATGTGCTTGGTGTGTCTGCTTAACTGAAAACTCGTGTGTTAAAATGCTTTACATGCAGTAACTCATTAACTTGTTCAGTCTTTGCAGCCGGGGGTAGCGGCTGTTCCTGCTACTTCACAGGTGAGAAATCGGAGGCAGAGGGACGTTAAATGTCTTGCCCATCACCATGTTAGGTAGGATCTGAACCCAGAGCCTGGAGTTCTAGCAGTAGGATGAAATACATCGGGTGTTTCAAATACCTGCCCTGGTGTCCAGAGGGCACTGGGGCTGCAGCAGGCGTGGAGGGAGGGACTCGGGCCGCCCACCTGCCTGCGTGCAGCGGCGGTCAGATGTCGTTGGCCAGAAAGCTGACCACTGTCTCTGAAGCTGGAATGGTGCAAGGGGGAGGATTATATTCCCAGAGGACCCGCTATCAACAGGGACACAAGCTCGTTTAAAGAGTGTATTTATTGCAAACCATGAAACTTAAGAGCATGGTCATAGGTCGATATTTATTTTCAGGGAAAATATTTTGTCGGAAGGTTTGAAAATGAGCAAACATCCTTGAATGAACAATTCAGGAACTTGTTTGTGTTAATGCAGAAAGATGTGTGTGTGCACGTGGCAGAGAGAGGGGTAGACGAGGAGAGGAATTGTGCGAGTGTGTTATGACGCCCAGGAAGGGAGTTCCCGGAGAGCTCAACCCTGGGCAACTGGGAGGAGGAGGCACCAGGGGGAGGTGGGGGGATGAGAGGCGCCCAGGCAGCCTGCCCACCGGCCTGGAGGGCAGGGCAGGCTCTCAGCGGAGCCCAGGTGGAATGGATGCACCACGCTTGGACTTCAGTAAGTCAGGCGTGTGGAGGAAGGCCCCTTGGCCTGCATTCCAGGAGCGGGGGTGGCCGCAGGAAGCAGAGCCTTTCAGTCTGGACGGCTTGTGTTGATGCTTAAGGTCAAGTAAAGACTTGTCAATAGATGTTTAGAGGGACACTCCCTAGTGCCAAAGGTCACATCAGTAAATCAGCCGTAAACAGTAGCTGTTGTGTTTTTATGCCAGACACGTTGGCCGTAGGAAAAATGCGTTTCTTGGTGCTTCTGAAGTACGTGAGCGTTTTATAGCGGCTCTTTCCTGCTCCGGGGACTTGCTTACCAGGGTGGAGACGGTGATGACAGTGATGACGTCTGCCAGCTCTGCTCCCACGTGGCAGCCCCAGCAGGCAAATGTCCTCAACCTCGCACTTCCTTTCCTTTCTCTTTTCACTAACAGCCTGTAACCCCGACTGTGTGGTGCTTACTCCTGAGGCAGCGCTGGAAAGTCTCTGGGAAGCCATTGTCATCCTCCGGCCTCTGGCCTTGGCTCCTGCCCTCGCCCTGCTCCTCTGGGCTCCTCCCGAAGGCAGGCGAGGTTCACGAACACGGAGATGCAGCTTTTCCACAACGGCAGGCCTTCACGGGGTGACCGGTCGGCGGGGAGGGGACCCGGCTTACTTCTGAAAAAGTGTTTTTCTCCTGCTATGCAACAATCAAAAGTTAATTAATTTTTCAAGTTGTGGGAGAATACGCCTAGTATAAAACGTGCCTTCCTAACCCTGGTGCCGTGCAGCGCGGTGCAGTGCCGTGCTGGGCCGCAGGTCTCCAGACCGCTCGTTAACTGTACCCGTTAAACGCCCGCTCTCAGTCCTGCCCCCAGCCCTTGGCAGCCACCGCCCTGCCTCCTGCGCTCAGTGGCTGCTCTAGGGGTCGCGTGAGAGCGGAATCATAGTGCCTGTCTTTGTGTCTGGCTCAGGGTTCGCCCGTGTTGCAGCGTGTGTCAGGATTCCCTTCCTTTCCTGTAGTGTTCATACATGTGCTCATCCGTCGGTGGACAGGACAGCGTCTCCCTCTTGGTTGGTGTGACTGATGCTGCTGTGAACAGGTCCCCGCTTTCATTCTCGCAGGCCCCCGTCCAGATGGGGAATTGCCGGATCCTGTGGCAATCCTATTTTTAATTTTTGAGGAACTGCCATACTGTTTTCCGTCCCCCAAAAATTGTAAATGCCCTTATTCCAGTCAGCTGGACAGCAGTGACAGCTCGATCTGAACCTGTAGCTCCCCTTCCATCGGGCGGTTACTGTTCCTACTAGACAGGCCTGAAGGGTTTAGTTCACCTTGTTGAAAATCTAAACCAAGGTGATGAGAAACTGCGTTCATTTGGTTAAAAATACAGTCCTGTTTCTGACTTTTTCAGTGCATACCCACAGCTCTTATTAGGGGTGCAGTTTTTGAAAGCGAAGAGCGACACAGAGCCTACCAGGTTTCACCTGCTGTGTCCACTGGAAACAGCTTTGCATCAGGAGGACCTGAGCTTGAACCCTGGCCCGGCAACATGCCGCTGGTATGACTGCGGGCGGGTGGCTGAGCCTCTCTGGGCTTCAGTGATATTTCCCATGCAGCGCTGCACGGCCCTGACCTCACAGCATGGCCGTCGTTACGGTCCCTGGTGTCCCAGAAAGAGAACACTGACGATGTCTTCGGAGGGAGGGATGGACGCAGAGTTTGGGCTGTGCCGCTTGTAATGAGCTTGCGTGTACTGTTATTAACACAAAGTAACGCAGTTTCTGCCTTCTTCATTTGTCAAAATAACCAGTAAAAAAGTGCAGATGGTGGTCTTTCCCCAATTTTCCAAAAGTACTTGAGGTTAGAAATTCAAGAGATAGGACAGCCCCTGCCCCCAGGCCGTAGGCCCTAGGTCGGGTTCACAGATGATGACGAGGGTGGGCATCTCAGTGTGCCATCCCCTGGTCCGGAGAGGCAGTGTGCCCAGCTCGGAGGATCCTGATCCCCAGGGCTGCTGGGGCTCAGGGGAGAGCCAGCCTCACAGAAACAAGCCCAGGAAGTCCCGCACGGAGGAAATCCTATGCTGCCTCACCTCCATTCCTTATGGTCCCGCATCAGCCGGGATTCTGCCTCCGGAGGTCCTGAAAGGCAGCTGCTGGCAGGATGGACCCGAGGGAGCTGCACCGGGCACACCCCTTCACAGTTACTCAGCTGTGTCCGTAGGCATGCAACAATGATATGTTTTTAATTCCCTGAATTAAAACAGGGTGCAAAGAGATCACCAAATCAGATGGCTGTAGTTTGGGTCCAGGTTCTGGGGAAACTTGAACACAGCGGTATTTCCGCAAAAGAGAACTGTTTTGTCTGGTTTGGGTTCGAGTGAGCTGGTGTTTTATTTAGGTCCTTCTAATCAAGTCCAGGATGCGTGTTTTCACATCCTACATTCAGCATCGCTCCAGCTTAGACTCGGGTTTCGGTAACATAGCGGGGAGGATGCTCTTGGCCCGGCCGGTGCGAGCAGCCCCGGGTTGCAGGGCACCTGAGAGCTGGAAGCCGGCCCAGGAGACCCTGCAGACGCCTCAGATTCAGTTTCTGCCTCATTAATAAATGGATGATGGTTCTGGGTCAGAGCTGGGAATACCAGGAACAGTAGAAAAATAATCCCATTTTAAGATAAAACTGGATGTAAGCAGGTTATTTTAATTTCGTATCGGTACTTTCAAAATGCCAAAAGCCATTTTAACGACACACGTATGAGAAGATTTCTTATTCTTCAGGCAAGTCCAAGGGTGGGGTAGAGTCTGCACAGTTTTCTCTCCTGGGTTCATTTCTCTTTCGCCCTTTGCTGAAAAGCATGGGTCCCTTCTTCTCAGTGCCTGTCCCATCTGTTCCCTGTTCACTCTTTCCACAGACCAGACCACCAGCCCCTGCTTCCCTGCAGGGACCTTCTGCGGGTTTCCACCTCCACTCTCTCCTCCCCCACTTTCCCTGTTCTCATCTACCCTGTCACACACAATCTTAGCATGTCACCCTCCACTGCCCCCAGGATAAACTTAAACGGGATGCACCTTAAAGGGTCTTCCTGGTCCAGCCTGGCCCGGAAGGCCCCCCCATCGTGCCCCGGCCTGTCCTTGGAGACCAACACCCAGATCCTCCCTCTGTGGGGCTTCCACACTCTGAGAGGTCATGGTCCAGGAACGCCCCTGTCCTCAGCCCCCTTTACTCCGTTTGCCTCACAGATTTGCACCAGGCCCCCTCGACAGTGGGCAGATCGCGCAGCTCTGGGCCCCTCCTGCCCTCTGACTTTCTCGTGTGCTCTGGGTCTGCAGGACTTGTCCTACAAGGACCGACACTGGCACGAGGCCTGTTTCCACTGCTCGCGTTGCAAGGGCTCACTGGTGGACAAGCCCTTCGCCGCCAAGGAGGACCAGCTGCTCTGCACAGACTGCTACTCCCATGAGTACTCGTCTAAGTGCCAGGAGTGCAAGAGGACCATAATGCCAGGTCAGATGCCCCCTTCACCCTGTGGCACCCAGAGCGCGCCTTCCCTCTGCCCTTCTGCTTGCTGAGTCTGTACTCCGGTCATTGCAGCACATATGCCTTGTGTCCTCCGGACGCCAGAGGTGTTCATAGATTAGTGAGTGGAGAGGTGTCCTGTCCTCCACCCGCGTGGAGCTTACATTCTGGACAGACGGACACTACCTTCTAGAGCAGGGGTGGGGAATGTCTGGCTCTCGAAATCATTTGGTCTGGCCCTGCCAAGGCTTCACCAAAGAGAAGCAGTTCCAGCCATCCCATCAAGGGTGAGTTAATTAAATGTTTGACCAAATACAGCAGGCTAATTTTTTAAAAATATATTTTATTGATTTCAGAGAGAGGAAGGAAGATGGAAAGAGAGAGAAACATCAATGATGAGAGAGTCATTGATCGGCTGCCTCCTGCACGCCCCCTGCTGGGGATTGAGCCCGAAACCTGGGCATGTGGCCTGAAGGGGAATCGAACCTGGATCTCCTGGATCCCACCTAGGTCGATACTCAGCCATTGAGCACACTGGCCAGGCCAGGATAATTTTTAAGTTTATAATTTTGTATGGCCCAATAATTTTGTTATAAATATCCAAATGGCCCTTGGCAGAAAAAAATGTTCCCCACCCCTGCTCTAGAGCAACCCAGACTTGACTGCAGCCAAGTCAGAGGCCGAGGGCTTGCCTGTGGAAGGTTTTAGGAGGAAGGTGGTTTATTTTGGTTGGTTTTTTAGCAAGGCAGAGGAATGCTTCATTTTTAGAACTAAAGTGAACAAATACATTTGACATTTTAAAAATAAACCTTGTGAGACACAGAAATGAGGGCAAGGAGAGTGACCCCTGTGAAGGGCAGACCCTAGATGACCAAGAGAAAGTTACAGACGTGGCATAGGCCATGTACAGACGTGGCATGGGCCATGCACAGCCAGGGACACCCTCCACACGACCCGTAAAGTGTGACCAGAAGGCAGACTTGGCAGACTTAGCCAATGAGAACACAGAACTCCCAGTTAAGTCCGAATTTCAGCTAACTTTCTAGTGTCTGTCCCATTGGGACCTTTAATCTGGCGTCCCTGCCAGAGACCTGCATAAACCAGAGAACTCTGTCCGGTGAATGTCGCCAGGACGTGTGGCCTTACGCAGCAGAAGAGGGCGGGGCAGTAATGAGGCCTGGAGCCCAGTCTCATGGACAGCATGCTGAGTGCCACAAGGGTGCCACAAGGAGTGTAGGACTTGGGACTGTAATTTGGTCCCAGGGTCCCAGGGCTCTGAGGCCAGTCAGGAGGGTGGACAGAGCGACTGTGGAACCAGGCTCGGGCAGACAGCGGGCCCTCCGACGGCTGGGGCTGGGGCTGGGGCCGGGGTCATCCCCCGGGCTGCTGGTGTAGGAGGTACCCATCCTGTAGCCCTAGGAAGGTTCAGAACCAAGGGCAGGCACAGTAAGAGGATCTAACCCAGAGCAATAATGTTATGTGAAATAATCTGATAAAGTATGTGTGGAGTTAAAAAGGTTAGTCTAAACAGCAAATTAAGCTCGAGATTCTGACTTAAAGTACACTGAATAAGTGATTTAGGCTTGTGATTTTAAATTGAAAATTTCTTCATTGATGAACATCTGGACATTTGAGATATGATCCCCATGTTCAGAAGCTTAATTCGTTTCAACAACAATTACTTAAGAGCTTGAGGCTCAGCTTGTTAGTTGATGAACTTTAAAGGGATGTTAAACATGCTGAATTTTCAAGAGTAGTTTAAAGGCGTTCAGTTCACCACATTTACAAGCAGAACCAAACTCAAGGCCCCTTAAAAATAAGTTTTGAAATTTGTATTCATGAATGCAGTAACAGGTGTGTCATATGAACTTGAGCTGAGATTTTGAGTTTGTTACCTCAATAGATTGAGCGCTAATTTTTAAAATCTAAGACGGTCAGCTGAGTAATGCTGCCTCATACAGTAGCTGGGGTCACAGCGATGTGAAGCGACCAAGGCTACAGAGATGATTCAGAGTTAGACTCGGACTCCTTGGTGGGACTGACTGCCAAGCTCTGGAGTTTGTTTTATTTTTGGTTTGCTCCGTTTTTTTGGCAATGGAGATGCTAAAGAGTCCTGAGCAAGAGGCCGGCGTGCGGGAAGTGTTATTTTAGGAAGATATATGGGCCTAAGAAATCATAACTTTAAAGAAGGCAGGGACATAATTAGGTCGGATGGTTCCTACTGCTGTTACGTTTCCCTGGTCAATGCATCTTACGGATAACTGGGACAGCTATCACCAGGAACAAAAGCCAGGCAACGTCCCCACAGCCCCGGTGGACCTGCCGTGGCAGCTCCCCGTGGGAAAGTATGGGAGGGAAGACTGCTACAAAATTATGTTAACACTGCACATGTTGGCACCTAGGGGCCCAGATGTGGAGACAGTGGGAATGCAAACGGAAGCCCACACCCTCCCAGCAGGTGACCAGCTGTCCCGTCCTGTCCCATGGGAGTCATGGGCAGAGACCACAGTCCTGCCGCAGTGAGGACCACTGAGTAATTGAAACACAAGTTAAATCTTTACTAGGTTTCCACACCAGAGCCCAGGGGAGGCTCCATGGTTGTCAGCAGACTGCTTTAAATCCTGTTTCCATTTCTCTTCACAGCTCTGGCCTTCACCCCGCCCTGGAGTCCTCCCCCTGCCCACCACCCACCTGGGCCACCCGCTGGTCTTGTCCCTGCATCCCCTCTGTTCCTCTCTGGATTTGTGGGTTTGATTGTTTGCACTTGCTCAGCAGTGTTCTGCCCTTTTGCAAGTAAACCCTGTGGGGTGGGCCCCTCTGCTTCTCCAGTTCCTCCCCCTCATCACCCTGCCTGGACCAGGTCAGGATGGGAGTCTTTCTAGGGGGAGGGGGAGACCGAAAGGAGGAAGTCCCAGGCCTTGTAGGTCACGCCAGGCGCTCCTGGGACCGGTGGGAGGCATACAGTCGTGCGTCACATCTGCAGAGGTTGCCCTGAGCCCATGGGAACAGCCGAGCTCTCCCAGGAGGGAGTTCGTGGGTGCACTGGCGACAGGGTGCTGGCAGCTATTAGAGAATGCCCCAGCTCGGGCACGTTGAGTGAGAACTATGCTAAATCACAGACACGAAATTGTGAAAGCATTGACGATTTTCAGCTTAAATGACCTTCAGGTTCGCCTTTCTCAGCTCACCAGTGAAGAAACCAGAGATAAGTGAGCACCCCAGGCTACAGTTGGTGGCCGAGCCAGGGTCGGTCCGGCCAGGCTGCACTGCACTGAGCCACCTTCTGGAGCGGGCAGGGAACTCACGGTGTGGACATTGCTGACTTCTGAAGGTGGAGAAACAGAGGACACACAGGCGACCTTCGGTGTGGCACGCACAGCCCGGCTGACAGGAGTACAGAGCAGCAGTGGGGACACCCCCAGTGACACAGCTCGGCATTCCTGCGGCTGCACTGGACATGCACACGTCAGGAGGCTGTGCTCCTCAGTAGCTGTGTGACGTCCCCAGGCCCCACCACCGTCCGAGCTACTTAAATTCAAAACAGCCTGGCCGATGCCACACGATGGAGCTGATCTCCTCTGTGCCGCCTGCAAGAGCCCTTCTGTCAGTGCCAGCCTGCGCCTCCACCGGCTCCTAGCGCCTCTCCAGCTTTGTCCCGTCTTTGTCGAGTGGTAAACAGGCCCCAGGAGGTTTGGGCTGGGCTGGTTTTGTTCCCACCGCAGTGTCCATCCTGGCCTCTCCCTCCCCTTGGTGCTCCTTCCCTGTGCTCTGTCCTCAGGAAAGGTTACGAACCAGCAGAGTTCATCTCTGGTCTCCTGCTTCATGGTTCTGAGGCAACATCCCTTTCTGACAAGGTGTGGGGAGAAGACCCAAGTCTCAGAAGTTTGTCTACAGTGATTCCTAGAAGTTATTTTATAGCCTCAGTCCAGGGGCCATTCAAGACATTAGCACCAACCCTGACATAAAAACAAACATGTTTCCTGGGTATTTGAATTTCTCTCTAGAGAAACAGAGAGAGACATTTACAGTAAGGAATACAATTGGGGGGCTAGCAGATCCGAGGCCCCCAGGACAGACTGGAGACTCGGGTCTGAGTTGACATTCGGCCTTGAGTCTGAACCTCTCGGAGCAGCGGGCTGGACTCAGGCGGGGCTTTTCTCTTGCATCTTGAGAGGAATTTTCTACTCAAGGAAAGCTCAGGCTTTCCTCTTAAGGCCTTCAACTGATAAGACAAGGCCCACCCACATTTGGAGAAGAGTCATCTGCTTTATTCAAAGCCTACTGATTGAAGAGTTAATCACATCTGTAAAGTACCTTCACAGCAACTTCAGACTGGTGCACAACCAAACAGCTGGGCCTCACGGCTCGGACAAGTTGACCATCACACTTTCCGTCGGTGCATAGGCCCTGCTGTTAGGGAATGGGGAAGCTGTGGCGCAGCCTTCTAGATTCCAGGCTCCGTGGTGGAAAATGCTGTGCGGTGATCACAACACAAGCACAGGCCCGCCGACTGAGCAGATGCAGGGCACGGCCTCAACTGCTCACAGGGCCCTGTCAGCCTGCACATGGCCCTTCAGATGGACAGCTTCACCCTCATGCCACAGACGCCAACACTGAGGCCAAGAGAGGCCAGGGCATAGTGCGCCCCAGGTGGGACAAGGGCCCCTGTGAAGGGGACAGCAGCAAAGGCGGACTTCCCTGAAGGGTGCAGGCAAAGAGAGGTGAAGGTGTCCAGTTGCTGGTTCTCCCTGTGCTGAGGACACCTCACTTGCTGTTGTCTGGGGTTCAGAAAACAATGAAGCCGAACATTGGCTCCACCTCTGCAGCCTGGCAGATATTTGCTCTGTGCCCAGTGGGTGCACACAGCCCAGGGCCCGGTTCCCGCTGCTCTCGCCAAGTGAGGCCAGCTCCAGGAGCAAGGTGGGAGAGGGGAAAGGACAGAGGACACTTGGGCTGCCCTGGGGAGCGGGGACAGTCCAGGGGATGACATTTAAGCTTGATCCGAGTGAGCAGAAGGTGCTGTCTGTGTGAAGACACGGCAGTCAGCTGACAGCGTGGAACTGGGAGCAAGACTTGGGCCCTGCCCTGCAGGAGTGAGTCCTTGGGGAGACTGGCCTGCAGGCCACAGGGATGTCTAGCTGTTGTTCTCAGACAGAAGCGACAGAGTCTATGGGAAAAACTACAACTTCTCAGAATCTTGGCATGATTCCGAGATCAGGAAGCAAAACGTTAAATAACTGGCATTTAAGTGAAGACAAACATAAGTATATCTTAGTCTGTGAAATCTTCCTAACATTTTTGAGATTTCCAAGACGTTCATGATTGTGGTAGGCTGGAGCAGGGGGTGCTCAGACCACTCTCTAAGAGTACCCCCTTCCCCACGCTCAGGGGCATGCATCTCCCTGTGGCCTGTCATTAAGGATTTTTAGGTGGAAATGTTGGAGAAGCCTGGCTGAAACCTGCTGTGATGGAGGAACGTGCCAAGAGCAGGGAGTCAGGAAAGGGACACCTGGGGATGTCACATTTGAGCAGGCTTGAAGGATGTGGATTTCAACAAATAGGAAAGTCAGAAAGGTCACTGCTGGACACAGGCTGGGCACCACGGGCAGGGTGGGGCAAGCCTGGTGTCTGCAAAAGCAAGGAAGAAACGGGCAAACGCAGGGTCATCACAGCACTTGCTTCCTTGCTTTGGTTTGATTTTTTAAAAGTGCTACAGCCACGGCAAGGTACATAGCAGCACAGAACATCGGTGAGCTTTGGGATGTAGACAGCTGGGACAAGAGGCCTGTTCTAAATGAAAAGTCACCCTCTGGGCCCACGGCCCCTGGAAGTCAGTTTCGTGCCATTTTCCGGGATTGTGTGACACCCCACAGTGCGAGGACTCACCAGCTCATCTACGGGACGCTGAGGCCGTGTGCAGAAGCACCGCAGCCTCGGAACAGGCTCGTGGGTCACTCACCCTTTGCCAGGCTTCTGGGTCCTCACTTGCTTATTTGAATTGGAGAAAGACGCTCCCTTCTGGAGAACTGGTGTAACGTGCAGATTGTTAGAAGGGACTTTGCTGCCCCCTGCTGGCAATGTTTTTCAGTGCTTTTGCAGGTCTGTGTAAGTGGCGCCTCTCAGATG